ATGTAAATACATACAATTCAATTTATATATGCATTTATATATATATATATATATATATATATATATATATATATATATATATATATATATGATAAATGCGTGCGATCTGTCGATGAATTTATATGCCAAACTAAATGTACCTTTGAATGTGTCTATGTATAATTTGTTGACGTATCTATTAAAATCAATCGGGAAAATATTGAGTATTGACGCCGGACATTTTGTGAAGGTCGAAAGTAATTTATTCGACACAATATACATTAAAAATTATTGCATCCGATATGAAAGACAGAGCTAAAATAAACATTACATACAAACATATATATATGTACATTTATATACACACACACACATACACACTAACATATATATATCGGTGTATTAGCATATTTTTACATACATACACATTTATTTTATGCATTTTATATATATATATATATATATATATATATATATATATATATACATACACACATACATATGTAAACATAGATTTTTTAATGTACAAACACGCAGACACAGATACACACGCATACTCATATATTGATGTGTGTGTGTGTGAGGATGTTCGTGTGTCTATATATGTATGCACGTATATATAAATATATATATATATATATATATTAATATATTAGGTCAGTACAAATGACCTCAGTGCACCTATATGAGGCCTATATATATATATATATATATATATATATATATATATATATATATATATATATATATATATATATATATATATATATATATATGTATTCTATATTCATATGGGAAGAAGGCACCGTGTCGGTGACAGAACGTTTATAGATAACGAATGTGGGGACATTGGAGCGTGAAACATTACAGTCACTCACTATGCAGTGTTGAATCCTATGTCCTCTCTCTCTCCATTCTCTCAATATATTCTCTATATATATATATATATATATATATATATATATATATATATATATATATATATATATATATATGTTCATATACATTAATATTCATAAAAACTTACTATGATTATTAATGGAATCAACTCATATAATTAGCGCTGACACTGCCCACATAAATTTGAGAAAGTTATCCACCATTTTTCTTGGAGAGGAGGTGGGCACCGAAAGTTAGTCATGTTCTCCCAAGAATCTCAATAATCTGATTTTATTTTACATTAAAATTATTTAGATATACTTGTCTGTAATTATTTTACACACACTCACGCACACACAAGGACAGAGACATATATACACATTGTTACGCACACACACACTCACTCACTCACACACACACACACACACACACACACACACACACACATATATATATATATATATATATATATATATATATATAATAATAATAATAATAATATTAATAATAATAATCTCAAAAATGTGGCATATGGGAACATCAACAATCCCTGTTGTAGTTGGAGCCCTATGACTGGTTGGAAAAAGATTGCAATAGACTAATTGAAGGGATTCCTGAAGTCCATGCCTCAGGAGATACAAAAAAATTGTTCTGACAAGTACAGCCCACACTTTACGAAGGGCTTTATCTATGTAATTTTTTTTTTTTTTTTTTTTTATGTGTGTCAGTGTAAAGTGTCATGATGCCATTTCTAACCTTAGGTCCTGGGCGGGACCCGGAAAGAAATGTAAACGCCAGAAATCAAAGAAAATGAATAATAATAATAATAATAATAATAATAATAATAATAATAATAATAATACATTTATGTCTTCATAACACAATTCTGAGTTTCATGCACGATGCAATTGCCAGGTGCTGATTAAAAACTGATCATTTGTATTGATTTATATTTTATATATAAATTTTGTTCACACAGATACACAGACACTGACATAGACATACACATATGCACACACATATGCACAAACACATACGCACAAACACATATATATAGGCATAAATGTGGATATATTTAGAATAATTAGATCTTAGAAACTGTATATACGGCGGTTGGGTGCATACACAGGTAAGCGAATAAATATTTACTTAATTTAATATATGGTGTAAACAAAACTGAATAATATAGTTAGACAGAACTAAACGTATATATATATATATATATATATATATATATATATATATATATATATATATATATATATATATATATATATATATATATATATATATATATATATATATCATGCTATATTTATGGCGGAGGAGAGATCGGTACGGACATCACCACCGACTGGAATCGGCGAACCAAGTTCAATTTCCCGGTTCGTCTGTTGCATTCACTTTCATAGAAATGTCTTCAGGAAAGATATGTATCCGTTTCAACATCCACCATCTATATGCAAAAAAGCATGCGTAGACAAATTTGAAACGCGTTCTGGCCGAGAAATTTTCAGCTGTCCTCCTCTGTTACATTCATAGTAATAATATATATATGCATTATATATATATATATATATATATATATATATATATATATATATATGAATGTATATAATATATTTTCGGCTAATACGTTATTTTCTATGGCTACTCTTATTCAAAAATAAATCAAATATTAAATGCACTCATGAGGAAATGAGACTATGTTCGTCACATATAATACTTATTAAAATAATTGACAAAGCATAGGTTTCATACGAGCATTGTTAAGTATAGAATGTCAGGTCTTAAAAATAAATGCTTATTTTAAGAAACTTCTTTATTATTTTCCTATTTTCAAATTTCATGATTAATATTTCCTTATTAGAATTTAAAGTGCGACCCAAAGTTTTCATTATTCTAAGAGTGCGCCGGGAATTTTAAAAAAAAGTTGAGAAACAATGAGAGAAAGTGAACGTTGATTTCTCAGTTCACACTCTATATATCTCGCTCTTTCCCCCTCTTTCAGTAGAAATAATAAAAATAATGATAATAATAATAATAAAAATAAATGATAACAATAATAATAATGATAATAATAACTGTGACAATATATATATATATATATATATATATATATATATATATATATATATATATATATATATAAATTCACTTTACTTTCAACCGGGTGCCGATAGTTTAGTGGTAAAATATCCGACTGTTGCCGAATCAGTCTTGAGCAATTCGGATGTCTAGCTACACTGACGAGCTGTGATACAGCCAAACAGTCTATCTAAAATAAATAGAATGTGTAAATTATTTAACCAAACCTGTCTGAATGAAAATATGCTGCTTAAATACACAATATATATATATATATATATATATATATATATATATATATATATATATATATATATATATATATATATATATATATATATATATATGTATGTATTAAAACTTATCTCATTAAATAATTTAAACAAGTTTTGTCTATTTTTAATTAGATCCTCTCATAATTACGGACAAGTTTCTTAGTAACCTTATTAAAGGAAGAAAGAAAATTATTATGTTGGTGCATGTTCATTTTATTTCGAGTACTTTCGACATTCGATCAATGTCATCATCAGCGTTTTGTTTTGTTTTTCTAAGAAAAAAAAATTTGTTCATCTTTTTTCTAAGACGAAATTGTTGTGTTCATCTGAAAATTAAATTTTTACTTGTGAAGTGAAAAACGCTAACGTCATGCATTGTACGATTTTTTTTTTGTTTTATGATGCAAGCACATGACAAACATCAAGGGAGATAACTAATCAAGATACTAAGAATCTTGTCCGTAATTACGAGAGGTACCTATTAAATATAAGTAGACAAGAACTGGCTAAATTATTTAATGAGATATATTTTAATGTAAACATGCTGCCAAAATATACTCAATATATATATATATATATATATATATATATGTGAAAAAAATATATGGAAAAACAAAAGTCCGAATATGCAAGTATGCTGTTTTAATGTTGTTTCGGTCTAGTAGACCTTCTTCAGGACATAGTTATTAAAACATAATTAACATTAGACGATATTCAAGTCAACATGAAAAGACGATAGACATAAGACTAATCAAAAGAGAATAACTTGCATATTCGGATTTTTGTTTTTCCATATATTTTTCTTCATACTCTCGGATCTATATCCACATATTTGCTTACACACACACACACACACATATATATATATATATATATACATATGTATATATATTGCAGTTAACATTATTTGGGCTACTATTGTCCAGTCCTGTAGGGAAACGAATGCTGGACAATCTCCTTAGAGATGAAGAAGAGACAGTGGGTCTACCGAAGGATACTAAGCATACCATGGACCGAGCATGTATGCAACGATGTGGTTTTGGAGAGAATGAAAGAGTGAGTTGGAAATTCTGAGACACGTAATGAGAAAGGAGGGCTTGGAAAAGTTGACACTCACAAGAGGGATAGGGGAAAGAGGGACAGGGGACAACAACGCGTGTCATATTTAATAGGCTTGAGCAAGTGGATGCCAGAACAGGTGTGTGAGAAATAACAAAAACAAAAAACTTATTGAGAGCTACAAGGGACAGGATGAGGTGGAGAGCCATGATCGCCTACGTCCTGAAGAGACACAGCACATAAAAGAAGAATTGTCCACTTAAGTCAAAAATGTCTGATCCAGTAAGAGGAGACGATGAGGTTGATTTCTGTAAACGGAGAACTGTGAATAATTTTAAGAAAGTTGATTTTTTAGGCATTATTAATAACATAGGAATTTTCGAAATTAAAATAATAGGCACAGACACACATCGACGAACCAAATTCATATGTATAGGATTAAACATGTGTGAGTACGTGTATTCATGTGTATTAGGTATGTGTATACATATACCATGATATATAAATAGAAATATCATTATATACATAAAAAGTATTTATATATACATAAAAGTATATATATATATATATGTGTGTGTGTGTGTGTGTGTGTGTGTGTGTGTGTGTGTGTGTATATATATATATATATGTGTGTATATATATATATATATATAGTGTATTCATGTGTTTTAGTTATGTGTATACATATACTATGATATAACCAGATATATCATTATATAC